GGGCCTGGAGGAACTGGGAGCTCTGGCTTAGCTTAGCAGTGATTGTCCTTAGCTTTTTGGTGGTTGTAGCTGGAAGCACAGAGAGGCCTTCTATAGGAGAATTAAGCTGCAGCTTGATATCAAATGCCTTCTCCATGGCTCCCCATTGTTCTAAACTGTTCATTGACTGTTCATCAAGGAAAATGGATGCATACTGTACTGTACCAACTTCTCAGGGTGGACCTGAGATTAAATACCTATTTCAGGGAGCAATGTCTGGGAAAGGAAGCTGATTGGCTAAGCCCCCGGGGCCTCTAGTTACCTCACTAGCATGGAGAACTCTGCCCTGTGCCTACATGACCACAGGCCACACTTCCTTATGTGGTGAGTGTGACATGTGAGGCCAGGAATCTGTGCCCACCAAGTCTCTGGGTCTCAGACCCACTCTACCTGACCAAGCTTCCTGTCATGGTTTACCATCCCACAGAGAAGCAATAGAAAAGCAGTAACAGCTGGGAAATTTCCTCAACCCAGGTCCTCTGGAAACTGCTGAACCATCTCTCCAGCCCCATAAACACAAATTGTGTCTTATAAAATCAAATTCTAAGCTACTGAGAAGAAATCTGTTGATGGCTTTTTTTGTTTTCCTCTTGTGGTAGGGTCTTGATGCATAGCCTGCACTGACTTAAAAGTCACAATCCTACTGCAGAAGACTCAAGTTTGCTTCCTAGCACCCACATCAGGCTGCAGACAGCCATCTGTGTGTCTGTCTCCACAGATGCTATCCCTTCTTCTGGTCTCTGAAGGCACCCACAGATACACATACATACATACATACATACATACATACATACATACATACATACATACGAATAAAAGATATTCAAAAATACTCTTTTGACTCTTTTAAGCCTTTGGATTATGCCTTAAAACTTCTGGTTTTCTTGTGGTTTTGTTGTACATGCTTATGTACCTAAAGAATGTAAGCAGAAGGGCTAAAGGCACGGCCCAGTAGTTAAGCGTGCTTCCTAGTGCTCTCTTGGACCACCTGGGTTCAGATCCCAGCACCCGCCATTTGTAATTCTAGTTCTAGGGGATTGCACGCCTTCTGGCCTCTGACGGCACTGCGTCCACACGGGGCACGTACATACACGCAGGAAAAGCTCTCCTGTGCATAACATGAACATTTTAAAAGAATGTAAATAGACATGGCACCATATGGATTGGGCAACTTGTAATTTTAGAAGTTTACTTTTCTAAAGTGTATGTATGTAGAGACAGAGAAATACGTACACCAGAGTTTGAGGTGAAAGGGGGAAAGAGAGGGAGAGGGAGAGAGGAAGGAGGAGGAGGAGGAGTAGGGAGGGAGAGAGAGAAGAACGAGAACACAAAGGCGAGCATGTGCATGCCCGGTTTGCCTCTAGCCATAACTTGCTAGTTGAGGATGACCGTAAGCTCCTGACCCTTCTACCTCTGCCCCCAAGTCTAGGCCTACAGGTATGAGCCACAGTGCCAAGCAAGCTACATTAACTATAGATTCAGGAGTGCTGAATAATGTCTTATATGTTCACAAGTTGTCACAAGTGGTTCCAGACCACTTGTAACCATGGTTTCCCTAGTCTTAATACAAATGAGACCCACATTGCTCCTGCTTGCATATATCTACAGAATTCTCTAGGTTTCCTTGGTGCCTTTCAAGACTGGGGTCTATTTTGTGTTGTTGTTCACTTATTTACTATTTTTTAAGTGTGTGTGTGTGCACGTGTTCGTGCTCATGTGCAAATACATGCAGGTATGTAAGAGGCCAGAGGGTTGGACCCCTCTGGAGCTAGAGGGACAGGCAGTTGGTTATGGGCTGCCCATTGTAGGTGCTGGGAAAGGAACTCTTGTCCGCTTCAGCAGCAGTATATTAATGGCTAAGCCACCTCCCCAGCTATGATTGAGTCCTTTGAGTGACACTAGGTAGCTCAGCCCTTTGCCATACAAAATCTAAGAAAAATCACGCCTTAGGCGCTTTTCTGCTGTTTTCAGAAAATTCTCACAGAGATGCTTGTGACTATGTCCGTTATAAATCTTCCCACTCTCCCTCCCTCACCTTGCTTTTCTTCCTTCACTCTCCCTCTTTCCTCAGGTCCCATGCACTAGAGAGGATTGGAATGACCTGACTATATGTAGTTCAGAGCCACATCTCTCCCTAACCAAGTAGGGTTTTGGCTTTTAGGTGAGACTTTGTAGTGGTTTGTCTTCCGTCAGAGTGAGTTTTCCTCCCTACGGTTGCTAGGCGTGTGTACTTGATTACAACCCAGGAGCAGGTTATAACGGTTAAGCAAGAACCCACACGACAGTGGGAACTTGTGAACCATAGCCTATTGTGTTGTGCTGACCAAATAACTGAGATCATCAGTTTATAAGGAAAGATGGCTGGGCATGATGGTGCTTGCCTGTAATTAACCTGACCTACATAACAGTTCTAGGTCAGTCATTGCTACATAGTGAGACAACTGTCCCGGGGTTGAGGGGGGGGCAGTGGTGGTTATCATGGCTCACGGTTTCTGTGTGCTTAGCTAGCTAGCCCTGTAGGGTGTTTGAGAGATAGCATTTCATAGCAGTCCTGTTGCAGAGGAGACCTGTTAATGACAGCCTGAAAACAGAGAAAGAAGAAAGGCCGCTTCTCATCCCCTTGGAAGTGTGCCTTAAAGTCATACCTTCCTTTTAAAGAAGTTATTTATTGATGTGGGAGTCCAGGTATGTGTAGCTTTATGGATGTTTTTCTCTCCTTGTGCCTTCACTTGGTTCCAAGGATTAAATTCAGGTTCACACAGCAAGTACCACGCCTCCACACCCTCAGCCATCTCTCTGTGCTTCTTTTCTTTATTTTCGTTCTACAGATAGTTTGTTGCTGTTTGTATCTACTTGACATGTATTTATTAAAAACAAGTCTCTTTATTGACAGTTTTCTGAGTAGTCATTTTATTAACATTAAACCTAAGCCAATGTGTTTTGTTGCTTATTGTTTGAGACAAGATCTCATGTAGCCCAGGTTGGCCCTGAACTCTCCCGGTAGCGGAGAGTGACCTTGAACTCCTTATTCTCCAGCATCCCCCTTCCTAGTGCTAGAATTCCAAAGGTATAGCACAGCCCTGGTTTCTGTGGTGCTAGGGACCAAACTCAGGCTTTGTACATAGTAGGTAAGTGTTCTTTCCCCTGACCTTTTTTTTGAGACAGGGTTTCTCTGTGTAGCTCTGGATGTCCTAGAACTCACTCTGTAGGCCAGTCTGGCCTCAAACTCACAGAGATCTGCCTGCCTCTGCCTTCCAAGTGCTGGGATAAAATGAGTGTGCCACCATGCCTAATATTTTAATTTGTGCCAAAATCTGATTTGTGAAATATATTATACTTGGGTCAGAGGAGTCTACATTTTCCAAATTGTGTAGAAACTGTGATAATTTTTCTTCTAGCCTATTAATGGAGGACAAACCAAGAACTGAGAAGGGAATCATATACTGAATGACTCCAGTGTTTTGAGGAGAGTCTCAACTACCTCCTTCAGTCTAAAGATACATACCAGTCTTCAGAACTCACATGCTCTGGAGACTCTAGTAAACTCCAGTTCATAGTGAGCCAGCATGATGAGCCAGCCATCCGTGATTAACTTCGTATCTTGCTATTTTGAGAGAATTATCCCTCACAGGAGAGACAGAGTCTGAACAGCCATACCCAAGGGAATGGAGACACACTCAGAAAGTGGTAGCTTGTTGCAGTATAGCAGAGCCTGAGTGTTTCCCAAGAGCAAAGAGCAGTAAGTATTTCAGTAAACCTGCCTCACTTAGGAAAATGAGATTGTCATGGCAATAGCTGCAGTAGAAAATTCTAGAAGCTGCAGTAGAAAATTCTAGAAGCATCTCCTTTGCCCTTCTCAGGAGTACAGTCATGGAGAGAAGCCAGATTTTGCCTCTTTAACCAGGAAAGCCCTGAAGTCACAGAAAATATGTAATGCAGAAACAAAAAAATAGTATCTTTATAATGGCATTCTTCAGATATGTTTAGAATTGTGCCAGTGAGTGGTACTTGTTAACAAATATTACCTCATCTCATCCAGTGCGTCTGTGAATTAATAGCCCCGGCTAGCATGAAGTGGTTCAAGGGGGTTGAGTCGTAGGAGAGTCATTAAGTGGAGGTGTGTTTTACTCAAGGATTAGCCTCAGGAATTCCACATATGCAAGCTTCCCTCGGCTACCCATCTGGTCTGTTAGTGTCCAATCGTACTATTCCAGACTAGTGTTAATGGCTTCTGTTGAAAACCTGTACTGGCTCTGAGTATACACTTGACATCCTAGACTCATATTTTTGTAGCTGGGATGTTGTGACTAGCCCCAATCTTGTATTTTGATGCTAATTCCTCTTTCCTGGGAGGGGCTGCAGATGAGTGAATCTGTACACAGGTGACCTGTGAACCCTCTGCCCACCTTAATTTGTAGAATAAAGTCTAGAGCCGGTGATTGGGCAGTAGAAGGGGAGGTGGAGCGAAGAATTTTGGGGAGAAGAGAGGAGGAGGATGACGACAAGGAGGACGGTGGAAGGACAATGGAGGAGAAGCTCGTGGCCTGGAAAAACCACAAGTTCTCAGGGATCTCACAGATGGGGAACAGTGTAGTGTAGTGTAGTGGTGATTCTGCCCAATCTAGGTGTGCAGTTTGTGCTTCTATTTGAGTTGTGTTTTTATTGGTCGGGCCTTCTTGGGTTGGAGATTTACTGCCACACTGGGATACTTGTAGCTTAGGAACACCTGGGGAAATGGGTGTCTGTCACTTGCACATCACTTGCTTCCTTGCTTACACAAGAAATAGCCGGTTTATTACTGCTGACTTTAACCTAACTGACATTGTAATAGTTAAGTTTGTAAATGTACAACTGTGAGTTTATTAGTGTGTTGCTAACAGCTGTGTGCTGTGTCATCAGTGTGTGACGTTCTTCAGGTGAGATTAGTGACACCACACCGTGTCTCTCTTGTTTCCCCACAGACAATGGATTCTGAATTATCACACAGTGTGGTTGGGAGCTATCTTAACCCCCCGGAAAGAACGTGTCTTCCATCATTCACACAGAATGAAGCACTTCAGAATTACCACCCTGGGAACTCTCCTAAAATGTTTAATAGTCCAAACAACCAAGGTAATGCTAATATGAACGGCTACAGAAAGTCAAGAGCAGCGCACGGCATGGAGGAGCCTTACTGCAGTTGTGTAGAAAGCACTGTGACTGTAGATTGTATACTGTCACACAGCCGTTAACGACGAGGCTGCTGCCATTGCCTGGGCGTCTACATAGGTCACTCACCATTCCCAACAATATTGGTTTCTTCAGCTATAAGCTACAGATTAATGCAACAAGCTAATAAATATTATACAATTATAATAAAAGTATCTTTGCAAACAGAAAACTAGTCTTTTAGGAATAACAGTCAAAGGCCAGGGGAGTGGTAGCACATGTCTTTCATCCCAGCACTTGAGATGTAGAGACAGGTAGCTCTTTGTGATTTTGAGGCAGCCTGGTCTACATAGCAAGTTTGAGGCCAGCCAGGGCTAAATAGAGAAATCATGCCTCAAATAAAGAAGAAAATTTTACTCTTATAGGTAGAGTGATGAAGTAAAATTTTTATTTAGGTTTTTCTTTTTCTTAACTTTTTTCTTTCAGGGTCTCACACTATAGCCCAGGATGACCTCAAACATACTTCTTCCTCCCTGTCCAGCCTCTGGAGTGCTGGCCTTACAGGCAGGTGCCACCACACAGGCTGTGGCACGAGAGAGCCCACTCTCTGGGCCGCCATGCTACAGGCTTTGCACATCCTTCGCACCCCAGAGCCCCATGACAGCACACTCTTTGGAGTTAGCAGAACTGGAGAGGTTTTCTAAGAAGGCATGCAGGCCAGGCTTAAAATGATTCTCAATTTTTTTATCTTAGTCATAGGATTATGATGTTAGTCTTCATGGCTTCAGAAGGATGATATTTTTAACTGAGGAGCACTTTCTGCATATCTCTTCTTACTTCTCAAAATGTCTCCTTATTTATAAACTAGTTCTTTTCTATTAAATTTCTTGTCAATTTGGAAATAAAATAAAAAATCCACGAGACTCCCGAGAGAGAGATGGCTCAGTTAATTAAGAATGCTTCCGAGCAGCCACATGGTAGAGGAGGGCTGGCGCTACTGTGTTGTCCTCAGACCTCTGTGAGTGTGTGTGTGTGTGTGTGTGTGTGTGTGTGTGTGTGTGTACGCACCATGGAACATACACACAGTGTACACATACAAATGAAAACGGTAGATAAATAATCAGTGAAAGCTAGGATAAGAATCTAGAGTTGGAACCCTTCTAACCTAGATAATCAGAATGCCAGTGGAGTCACGTCACACTCAAGCAACAGACAGAATTCACACGTATTCAGCAGTGTCCTTGAAAATCCCTTAGGAGTCCAGAAATATTTTATGCTTTACAAATTACTTTATAAGATCTGATTATCACCCTTCAAAGAAAATCTGTAATAACGGTTGCTGTCTTGGGATTTCTATTGCTGCGATAAAACGCCATGACAAAACTACGTGGTGAAGGAAGGATTTGTTTCCACTCACCACTGAGGGAAGCCAAGGCAGACTTCAAGCAGGAGGCTGCTGCTTCTCCTCCTGCTTGCTCAGCCTGCTTCCTTGTAGCACCCAGGATGCCCAGCTCAGGAGCAGAGCTGCCTGCAGCGAGCCGGGCCCTCGCGCATCAACTGTTAATCCAGAAAATGCACCACAGGCCAGCCTGGTAGAGGGCTTTTTCTCTTTTTAAATCCTCTCTTCCCAGATGGCTCCGACTTGTGTCAAGTTGATGGAAACTAGCCGGCACCATGGTATGAGTAAATAGAGGGACTCTGTTGTGTTTACAGACCGTAAGAAAGAGTAATCCGGAGCAATGGGCCAGCTACCAGTGTCAGACAGAGAGCAAGCAGAATCCCCAGCACACACTGTGTTGCAAATATACTACTAACTAAATTATTAATATTCCACTCAGATCATTTGAAATCACAACTGAATAGAAAATGTAGCATAACGTTTGAAAGACTGCTAACTAAATTTACCTGCATCATGAAGACACCGATGTAACTAAGTAAAAATGACAGTAGCAAACGTGTGCCCTTGTAGTCTCTTACCAGGAGCACTAGCCCAGCACTTGGCTGTTCCATGGAAAGCTGCCCCGCCTCACGGTCCTGGTCTTTAATATTACGCCTGGGGCAAAGACTGGTGAGGACTGAAGGACAGGAAGTGAGGACAGCTGTGGACTCAAGTACCGTATTCATTAGTTGAAGGACTTGCACTCCAATCGTAGAAGTCACTTGCTCCAGCAGTAGACTATTGTTTCTATAAGATACACCATAGGAAATGTATACCTTTGTACTATCATTTTCATTTATTACTTATTTATATGATATGTAAATATAGTTATTTTTGTCATTCAATTTATTATATATAACATACATACATATATTTATGTAAGTATGTATATGTTTATATAATTATACAATCTAACATACTTTCTGGTTACTAGCAAACGTACACTGCTCCTTTTTGAATGTTACCCAAGTTACTGTGGTTGCTCAATTTTCAGAGTTTCACTTAAAACATGGAGCACATTTCTTTTCACTAGCACTTGTTTCAGCATTAAAAACTCTCCAGGAAAAGATTCGTCGTCTCGAGCTGGAGAGGACGCAGGCTGAAGACAACCTGAACCTTCTGTCCAGAGAAGCAGCGCAGTATAAGAAGGCCCTGGAGGTGGAGACCAGCGAGAGGGACCTGGCACACCAGGAGCTGATTAAGCAGAAGAAAGGTGAAGGGACCGTGGTTCTCAGGCATATGGGGTCACCAGAGTTTACAGTGTGAAAACAGTAAGCCCAGCTGAGCAGACTCAACTATCTCTGCTCTTCTGTCATAGAAACCGGAGGCCTTGGACCAAGGCATTTTAATATCTGTGGGAAACTAATGTAACTTCGAACTTCCCTGCATTGTATCTATTATCCTAGCTCAAATGCATTTAGGAGGGAGGGGTTTCTCTCATGTGTCCTCCAGGCTGGCCTTGAACTTGCTGTAGCCAAGCTTGCCCTTGCACTTCAGACCCTACTGCTCTCCTGCTTCCGCCCCAAGTACTGGGATTGCAGGTGTCACCGCCATACTCTGTGCAGTGCAGGGGACTGGAGCACTCTGTCAACCGAGCTGCATCCCAGCCCTGAGTTCATAAGGATTTATTATTTAAATACATCATTAAAAGAAACTTACGCAAGTTGTGTTTACAAGTTAGACTATTTTTAGAAAAAATAATAAAACCCAGCTTAGCCTATAAATATCATTAAAATGCTTGTTTTTGATTAACAGTAAAGCAATGGTAGTAATTAACAACATAAAAATGAATGGAAAATAATTTTATTCAACTTGAGGAACCCAGAATTAATTAGAAGAGATAAGTACATAGGTAGAGACTTCTATGGAAATTATGAAAAGAACATTAGATAAGAAATGTAGAGTGTGAATTCCTTGTATAACTTTTCCTCAAAACTTTTTTGAGTTTTTTTTTTCCTTCTAAAGCATTCACACACATAAATAAAGCCTGAGTTTCACCTAGCAAATAGAATGAAGGATGAGAATCAGAAACGGAGACAGCTGAACAAAGCCAGACTGATTAAAGCGAAGGGATTGACAGTTGGTTACTTACCCTCACCGGCTGGGCTGACCCTCCACACGTAGGAGGAGAGGAGAGAGCCGGGCCTGGGGGCCACGCCTTTAAGGAGGAGAGGAGAGAGCCAGGCATGGGAGCCATGCCTTTAAGCCAGTACTAAGGAGGCAGAAGCTGGTGGATCTCTGAGTTCCTAACTAGCTTGGCTACAAAGCGAGTTCCAGGCTAACCAGGGATGTATAAGGAGAGACTCTTTGCCCCCCACACACACTGCCTTCACACACACGCACACCCATACCCACACGCGCGGGTGTGCATTAAAAGGAGAAAGGAGAAGAGGAGAGAGCCAGTGCAATGGCTCCATGTCTCGGGGTAAAGGCAGTTATTGCTGCCTGATGATCTGAGTTTGATTCCTGAGACCTAAACAGTAGAAAGAGAAACAGAGTCCCATAGGTCGTTCTCAGACCCCCCCACATTCATAGTCCTCCTCCTCCTTCTCTTCTCTCTCTCTCTCTCTCTTTCTCTCTCTCCCTTTCTCCTTTTAGAAGTATGTCTTCTGTCTTTTTAGGGATATTGTCAATAGAGTCATATATAATTAATGAGACATTCACAAAAGTCTGTTTAAAGTCGGTGAGTAAGAGTGCAGCTGTACAGAACGAGGACCTGCATTAGAACCTCTAGCAGCCATCTTAAACCCTGAGCATGGCCGTGAGCACCTAGACCTGCAGCTTCAGGGTTGGTGAGAAAGACAGGCAGATGTTCGGTGCTTGCTGGCCAGCTGATTCACTTCAGACCTGACTCAGGAGAATAAGGCGAGAGCAAGAGGAAGACACTTCACATCTTCCTCTAGCCTGTGTACGTGTACACACGGGTGCACACACAAACACACACATTTGCACCATGTGTATAACAGCACACACCATGCACACACAAAGTCACTTTTAGCATTGGTTCGAGTTTACATACTGACTCTGATCTCTGTAATAATCAGCTAATTAGCTCATTATTTTGTCTTTGCATAGATATAAGCATACAGTTAAGCTCCGCCCAGTCTCGTTGTATTCTTCTAGAGAAGCAATTGGAATATACAAAGAGAATGGTTCTCAATGTAGAACGAGAAAAGACTATGATCCTAGAACAGCAGGTAAGGATGTTTTTCTTTAAGGAATGGTAATATAATTTACTATGCTTTGAAGAATATAATATGGGAAAAATTTCATATTGTAACCATAGTAGAATATGTCTATGATAAGCGTATGTCTAGGAGATTGTCACCTACAGCAGTGGTGGACTGCTGTTTAGGCCAACACTTTTGCAATGAAACAAGAAAGACTTAACAGATAATCTACGAAGCAGCGTAAGAAAGAAGTGAGAGGTGGAGGAGGGGCAAGGGAGGGAGGAGAAGGCAGACAGGCCTAACAAGGCATTTTGCAGCCACCATTTCAGATTCTGCAGATTTAAATCACAAAAGTTCCTTCTGACACTGTGGCTTATTTCTTCTGAAGGTATTTGTGACTTTGTAGCATAGTTGAGACAATTCTTCTGACAACTGCCCTTCTGGTTCAGGAAGTCAGTTTAAGGCCAACATCAAGCAAAACGCCTGGGAAATATTAGGCTTTGTGAAGTTGAATAAGAAAGTAAACAACCCAGGTCAAACCCTGTTCCAGGTAGGAGCAACCTAGAAAATGTTATACACTAAAACCTAAAACTAATTACAGTGGTTCTGGATTCCCAGTGTTCTTAGGGACCTCAGATTTTTCACAACCCTTTCTCCAACACATTGAGAAACTTTCAATCCAAACCAACCAGGCAGAAGATGGAACTCCTGAGTGGGATCAGCATCCATAGGACACATAGACACGCCCATCAATTAGTCTGAGTAAGGTGTGGGTCTGACAGACCTCAGCTTGACAGCTCTGTGCTCGCTGTAGTCAGGAACGGGGGTGGTGCAGCTAGAACACTGATAACCACTGAGCTGAGACGCTCCAGCCCTCTCTGGACAACATAAATAGACTATCTCAGAAAGAAAGAGAGAGAGGCTGAGGAGGAAGAGGAAATTTTCAGTCACATATTAGAAACCATAATGTGGTCAAGCCAATTTGAGAAGGAATAAAATACCTAAGAATGAAATTTAGAACTAGTAGATCTGCTTGATGGTCAGCAGACAGAATTCAAGAAATGGACATGTGGCCCCCAGACCAATCAAGGGACAGTATTACAGTACATTCAGAAAACAGGAAGAGGTAGCACATCAGAGTGAGAACGCTCTATATGGATGTATAACTGGAGCTGAAAACGTGGAGAGGACAGTGATGTCAACCTCACACTAAAGACACTGTAGTAGCTGAGCAGTTTTCAAGCGTGATTAAAAATTAAAACCATACCACACAGTATAAAGTGAAAAGGTTGTCAGATGTGGTGACATAGGTGTTCAACCCTGGTGCTCTGGAGGCTAAGGCAGGGGAATCTTTATGAGATCCTGGGTAGCCTGGTCTACAGAACGAGTTCCAAAACTACATGGAGAGACCATGTCTCAAAACATAAATAAGTAAATAGTAAGTAAGTGAGTGCTTAGTGTTTACTTCTGTTGAACCACTGGTGGTTGCTTTGGGCCTGTGGTGTCCTATCAGGGTCATACAGGAAATGAAGACACTCCCCATACCGTCAGGAAGCAGGAGCAGTGAAGTGGAGGCTAAGGCCATGGTCCTATGACAGTGTCTCCCACTGGCCCCACCTCCTAATTCCCGAGGGTGGGACTGTTGTCATAGTTTCCTTCTCAAGCATACTCCCAGCTAACGTAAAGGCTGACTTCGTGTTGGTTTTTATGTCCTGTGTGCTGGGTTTCTCTGTCTAAGTGGACATAAAGGACTTGAGTTTGTACCTGTCAAGTATATTATTTCATGTTTTGGGTTTTTTGTTTGTTTGTTTGTTTTTGTTTTGTTTTTTGTTTTTGTTTTTTGAGACAGGGTCTCTCTGTGTAGCCCTGGCTGTCCTGGAACTCACTCTGTAGACCAGGCTGGCCTCGAACTCAGAAATCCTCCTGCCTCTGCCTCCCAAGTGCTGGGATTAAAGGCGTGCGCCACCACCACCCAGCATGTTTTGGGTTTGTAATACATCACTCCATGCTTTATTGGCTTTTAGGACTTTGGCTGTGAGGTTTGATGTTATTCTGATGTGTTTGTCTTTGTTGCCTTTTTTTCTTGCTGCTTGAAATATCATTTCTTCTGTAGTTCTGGTCTTTTAATTGTAATATGGACAGGCTCTTCTTTGGGGATGCCAGTTTGGATTCCTAAGTGCGCCTTTTATTTTGAAGTTAGGGAGAAAATAATATCAATGCTGCACAAAGGGACACATGAAAAATGAACATGAAATTGGGCAATGTGATTTCTTTTTGAAAAATAGTTCTTACTCTAGAACCAGAACTGGACTAGCCAGTAGCCCCTTTGGCCAGCACACATGAATTTTATCCCTGCCATAGGTGGTGATGGCGACTCATCCCACTGCGGGAGCTTGACTTCACAGTCTGATGGGGTAGGCTCACTGGCAGAAATGAGAAGGAAGCTTCAGGAAACATAGGCCCTTGTTGAGCTAACTACAGGAGGAAATCCTTTCTCACATTGGATATCCATTTCTTGCCCTAGATAGTGAGGAATATTTTGTCATGACTCTGACTGTATACTTTTCCATTTCTAGTACAGTATGCCTGACCAAAGCAAGTAAAGCAAAGGCGGGGTTTATTTGGGCTCACAGTTTCACAGTGTGACAGTCTGACAAGGCAGTAAAGGCTTGGCCGCAGGACTGTGAGGCAGCGGCTTACATTGTATGTTCTTCATCAGGAAGCAGAGAGGGACCAGTGCTCTGCATCTTTCTCCTTTTTATTCGCTAGGACCCCAGCCAATGGATGATGCCACCTATATTCAGGATAGGCCTTCCCTCCTGATTTAAGTGTATCTGGCAACAATCCTCATATAAATGTGTTTCCATGGTGATGTCAAGTCCAATCAAGTTGACAATGAAGACTGGCTACCACAGTTACATTCCTTATAGGCTTGATAGCTGTGCAGATGAGCTTTGACTCATAGCTTTGGAGTTCATGCATCCTAAGTCTCATCTGCATCTCTGTAAGTTCCTACAATCTGTTAACAGTCCAAACACAGTTCCAAGTCTCTCCTGTAAGATCCCAAAGGTTTATATACGTCCAGCATACAGTGATACAGAGCACACATCGCCCTTAGAAAAGAGCGGGGTGGGGCCGGGCCATGGCAAGGGGAGAGCAGAGCAGAGCAGAGCAGGGCAAGGCTGAAGTCAGCAGGGCCGACAGCAGCCTTGGGCTGCATGCCTGACCGCTGGGGCAGCCTGAGGACAGGCCACGCCAGCTCCAATGATGTTGACATGGTCCCAGCCGTGTGGACTTCACCTTGTTAGCCTCCCTGCGGGGACTTGGAACCTGTCACTCATTGCTTAGTTTCCTTGACTTTAACACGTGTTGCTCTGTCATTTATGTGAAACCAAGACCGTGTGGATGACAATTACACAGTTCTTCTGTCAGCCCAAGTTGTAGTCCAACCTCAAGGAGCACAGTCCCAGTGAGCTCTGTGTACGTATACAGTTCTGTTCAAGCAGTGAGCCCTTCTAATGGCTTCCCAGGTCAACCTCCCTGTTCAAATGAACTTGCGTTGTCTTGCACGGCTCAGGTCTGACGCTCATAGCACCTTTCCTTGACATTGCTAGTATCTGTCCACCCCATCTTGGCAGCAGCATCGAGTGTTGACTACACTGCCCATTTTCATATCTTTCTGGCTGACTTTTTGCTCTTTCTCAAAGCACTGAACAATAGCCATGACATACTGTGAATACAACCCAAGTCCTACAGGAATAGCCAGTGTTCTTAACTGCTAAGCTGGTCTTTCCTTGTGAATTCAGCCTCATGGCAGCCCTCAGGACATGTGCAGTGTGAGCCCAGAGTCATCACCAGACTGTAGTGCTGACGCCTCTAACTCACTTCCTGTTATCAAGTCCTGGTCCTCTTTGGAATTCCACGAACTGGGGCACCACCGTATCATCTGTTTCCTCACTTTCTTGCCTTCTGAACCTCCCCAAAATGGCCACTAAGCCCTGATTATCGGATTCCAGGATTCTGAGTCACAGCACCAAACGCTTTCACATTCTTCCCATAAACCATTTCCAGACACTAAGAACCTGTGTAGTCAGGTGAATCACTGCAGCACCCCACTCCCCAGGACAAACACCCACACAAGCACCCGGACGCACACGTGACTGTACAGACCATCATGGTAGGATAAGAAACACTGAATATAAGTTTTTCCCACCAAATATGATGAAATGTGTTGAAAATAAGAGCCGACTATTTCTGCCTCTTCTTCCTTAAAAAACTTTTATATGAATATATTAATTACCCTGCCACGCACATACCCACTAAAACCTCTGTTTACACAGTCCTCCTACATTCTTGGATTAAAGTCACTCACCCCTTCCTCCTTCATTTCCTGGGCACTGATTTTTCTCTGACTAGACAATTGCAAAAGACTGTGAGGTTGGACCGCAGCCAATGGGCAAAAGACACAGTCGCCTTCTGAATTAGAATAAAAACCAAGTGCAGCTCCTGTCCGGTGCTTGTTTTTCTGCTTGGTGAGCAGCACACCTTTGAAGACTAATGTTTGCCTTGTCAGACACTTCAGGAATGGTTTCTTTCTTTTCAACCCCAAACTTATTTCTAACAGAAGCCAGAATGGGAGGCTGCTGGTCACATTGAATCCACAGTCAGGAAGCTCTGCTTCCTTCTCCTTGTTATTCAGTTTGGGACCCCCACCCATCGGAATAATAAGAGGGTCTTCTCTCCTCTCTAAACCTCTCTGCAAACATCCTCACAGGGACACAGTCTCTGTGGCAATCTTGCATCCAGTCAAGTTGGCAAGGAGGATTAGCTATTAGCTTTTATCTCAGGTGCTTTGGCCTGAGGGAGCCTGAGATCCAGTCTGAGTTCCTGTCCTGTCATTCCTGAGTGTGTGTGCTTGCACGCTGCCTTTATTGAAGTGTGCGGATTTCCTCTGCCTTTTCTTCCCCTCCTAATATTCTTATTCTGCTGGACTGTGTGTCTGGTGCTCTCCCTGTGGTTTTAGTTCTACTAATTGGATTTTGTATTTCTAGCGTTTCTTCCATTTTCCTCCCCTAAATCTCCGTTTCTTCTCTGATTTTCTTATTCCTACTGTCTCACCCACGTCTGATTAATAGCCTTTCTTTGCCTTTCTGCTTTGTGTTCTTTGAAGTCACTGCGCATTTTCTCTTGGTAACCGCAGGCTTTGTTTGATGCTCTGTTCAGGGTTTCATTTACTGAGACTTGTTAGTTGATCTTTGGAGGTGCTGAATTCCCCTTTTTATGCTTCTTGTGGTTTACATATCTGTCGGTATGGGATGTCTTCTGGTTTTAGTTGGGGATCTTAGCGAGCAGCCTTAGGGATTTAATTCTCAGTCACACTGAGAGGAAAAAACAGCACCGCTGAACGAGAAATAAAAACACACCTCAGACTGAGTAATGACACGGAATTGAAAATGGTAAGAAAATGACCCATAGGATGCTAGGAAGTTAACATGTGTTTAGGTGAAAATTCAAACAGGTGCACAATAGAAGCAAGCAGACCCTGAAATCTGCGAGCTATCTGGTCCCCATGCTCTCTCACCCTGCTCCACATGGACTGCTGTGAGAGAGACGTGCAGATGTGCCACACTCTGCTGGGACTCAGAGCTCGCTCTTGCTGGCCTGCAGTACTTGGTGTCAGGGTTTAGCAGCAGAAGAGTACCTCAGTGTCTGAGTTGATGAAGGAGGGCGTAGGCCCCGCACCTGGTTCTTACACAGGGTACATCGGTGGCTCCAGAGGTCTGGTACCCACTGCCCTCAAGCTCAGGCCTGCCGGTTGTCCACAGTTATCCTCAGTCAGCGGAGTCTGTTCTCATCCTCAGGAAGTGGAGCTCCACCCACCACATCCTTTCCTGCCAGAGCCCAGCTTTCTGCAGCTTGGACTCCTAACATCTTAAATCCAAATCCTCCTCCTTCACCGTGCTCTTCCCCTCACTGAGCTGTCACGGTGCTCCCTCCCTGCCCTAAGTGACCTTGTTTTTTAGATCCCACAACAGCTCAGTCTAAAACAGAAGACTGATTCCCCTGTGGTAGAGATGCCCCAGCGCTCTAAAATGGGGAATGACAGAGGACTTCCTTGATGCTGACCTGTCACACAAGAGGAATCGCCATCAAAGAGATTCCCCGAATGGATTGGTAGCTTTCAAGAGTCTCCCTCCCCTTGCTTGAAAGCCACAGCTGAAGCCCTGTGGTCCCCGGATGTGCCCCCAGGCCCTTGTTTGCACTCCTCCCCTGTCCTGCCACCTCCACTGGGACTTGCTCTCTTTGGAGTAGTCTCTTCTCTGTTGTCTGAGTCGTCCCAGGGCACTCAGTGCAGTTTCTAATCTACCTCCTGCCAAGAGGTTTCCTTTCATTCTTTGAACTATTATTTTTGTAGCTGAAGTTATCAAATCTCTACTTTTTGACTGCATCTGACAGAGTTTGGTCATGTTTATTTTCATTTCATTCACTTAAAAATAATTTCAGACCTTACTAGTAGCTTCTTCGTCTGCATGCATGCTTGTGTGTGTGGTGCACAGAATTCAATCCTGGGCATCACACATGCCAGGTAAGTGCTTTACTGCTGAGTTACTCCTGCCACTCACTTATTTTTACTTGTTTCTTTATTCTGGGGCAAGGTCACACTCTAGTGCCAGGGTGGGTTTGAACCCACAGTCCTCCCCTCTCAGTCTCCCAGCTGACTTGTGTTTCTGGCTGACTCACAACACCCAGCTCTAGTGCTATCTTTTTAAATATTACTGTCTCTTCTTCCTCCAGACATAGGTACTATAATTTGCCACTGTCTGCCATGAATTGGTATTAAAGTATGAAAGATCCTTCCTACTGTGTGCCTCTAGTTTGTACTACAGCTTCCTACTGTGTGCCTCTAGTTTGTACTACAGCTTCCTACTGTGTGCCTCCAGTTTGTACTACAGCTTTCCTTTTATTTTTACATGTTATAAAAACAACCCATAATTCATTATTGGTTCTTGTAAATCATTGATTATCCTTTAAGGGAGCTTACAAAGGGAAGTATATACTTATTACATCTCCAGTGCTTTTCACTTCTTTGCATAGATTTTCTTTCAGTCTGAAGAAAAAAATAATAACGCCAAAAAGTCTCATAGCATTTATTTACCTGGAGAACCCTTTATTTCATCCATATTGTGAGTGATGGTTTTGCTAGATATGGAATTCTAGCCTATGGATTTTATACTTTTGTCAGTTGTGTATGTGTGTGTGTAGAGGTGCGTGTGTGTGATGTCGGGGCACGTGAAGGCACACATTTCAGAAGTCTGTTCTCTCCTGCTTTGCTTTGAGGCCGGGTCTGCCTCATTGTCTGTGCAGCTGAACTGCGTATTCCGTGCTGGCTGGCCCGTGAGTTTCCATACAGTCTCTTGCTTCTGCTTACAGACGCACGCCACCGTCCTCGGCTTCTTTTGTGGTTCCAGGATTGAGCAGCAAGCCCCTACCCTCTGAGCGGTCTCTCTTGCCCTGTGTATGGATTATTGTTACTTTGTTGTTTTTGTTTGTTTTGAGATGAGTCTCTAGAGTGCAGGCTAGCTTGACCTCGCTGTACTGCCTAGGTTGGCCTCTGGCTCAGGATGATCCTCCTGCCTCAGCATTTTGTGTGCTATGATCACAGGAGTGTATCACAAGGTCCAACCTTAAATTTTCAGCACTTTAAAGATATTGTGTGAGTTACCTTCAGCTTTCCTGTGTCTATGGCCATGCTTACTTCCGTTTCTCTGTCTGTGGTACGTTTCTGTTTCTCAGGATGCTGGTAAGATTTCCTCTTTATTACTGGTTTTTAGGAGTCTGATACTTGATACACTGTTTACCGCTCTATGGGTGGGGGCCTGGGGGATGGAGCCAGTTCACTGGTCCTCAACCTGTGGTCTGTGATTACTAGAGTCACATATCAGATATCCTGTATATCAGATATTTACATTATGATTCGTAAAAGCAGAAGATTACAGTTGTGAAGTAGCAACGACATTTTATGTTTGGGGGTTACCAGAACATGAGGGACTATATTAAGGCTTTAAAAAGGTTGAGAACTGCAACAAATGAAGGCAACTAAAGTCGCATGCAGGAGCCAGCTCTATTCAGAGCATCAGAGGACTTACACTCCGAGGCTTATGCAAGGTCACTTGAGTAAAGTTCTCATGAGTTCAAGCTGTGTCTATAATCCCAAGGACAAGCAAAAACCTATTTCCATAGAGGCACATGAAGGACGGTTTAAACATTTAACTGAATTAACAGCAGCAAGCAGTATGGAGTAGGCTCGCTCCTGCCCGCTGCACCTGGGAGGAGCACTAAAACAACACAAGAACACTTCCATGCTTTGAAGAAACTGAGGTCACAAGACTCTTGTTCTCTTGGAGTTTTCTCACAAGCACCCAGAATTCTCTTCCCAGTACTCCATTCCTGGACACTGTTAATCTATTTTACATTACATTTGGACCATTTTTAGCCTTTATTCTTCCAGCCGGCATTCTGTCTTACTCCCATCTCTTCTTTGAGATGCCAAGACTGGGAAGTGGTCTCCAAAGCCACTCTCTTCCTGCATGCTTTTCCGTTTGCCTTACTTAGTGGCTTTCCCATTCAGAGCCGTTTTATGTTCACCGGAAAGCGTGTACTGGTCTCCCTCCCCCCTCGTCAGCCGTCCTCATGATGTTGTGATAAACAGTCCTGTAAAACAGTGTACGTGTGTGTGCATGGGTGACGTTCATCATGTTTTCTTTCCTTGCTGTTCTTCTCTGTTGAGTCAGGGAACCTGGGGCAGTGATCAGCTTGGTCACCTATGAATCACACACACCTCATGTCTTTACTGTAAGCTTTGTGGTGATATTTTCCCTAATGCCAGTGTTGTAGAAAGACACAAAGAGGAATTTATTCTGCCAGTGCTAAGTCAGCAACATGTCCATCACCTCTTACAGTGGCTCCTTAAAAGGATTTGATTTTCTTGTTTTCTGCTCAAAAGTACCTAATATATATACATGTGTGTACATGCTTCTAGCAGCCGATTTATGTCATGTTTTGATTTCTCAGAAATTATGTTATTCTTGATCCACTGGCATCACTTGCCAAATTTAGAATTTGGTTTTTTTTCTTCTCCAGGCCCAGCTTCAAAAGGAAAAAGAACAAGATCAGATGAAGCTTCACGCTAAGCTTGAAAAGCTCCATGTCTTAGAAAAAGAGTGCTTGAGACTGACGGCGACTCAGCAGACTGCGGAGGTAAGTCTCTGCTTGTCTCTGCAGCTACGGTGCCAGGAGCGAAGCAAAGCTGCCATTGTATGTGAACCAAGAGTCAAAGATGAGGGCAGCTCACGTCCAACTCAGTAATCCGGGTAAATCCCGCCCATGGAGACAGTGTATTCTGTCAGGGCATGAGTGAGCTTGCCTTCCGATACCAAAGGATGAGTTTGGCTTCTAAGATGATGGAACATTTCTATTCAGCAGGCATATGACCCAAAGTATAGTAGAAGGTAGCCTTTCCTGCATATGGTTACACCTATCCTACGTCCCTTTCCTCCTCCCCCAAGACCTTCTCATTTCACAGAATTGTTCCAGGAGCTCTTCTCCTCTTTGTAGGCCCTCTTATGGCCCAATACCCAGAAGTCTCTCCCTTTGACACTTCTGTCATGGTCCCTGTTCTGAACCACACAAACATAATATATGGGCATAAGTTATAGAGTATGCATGTATGTATAAAGTATAGAGTGTGCATGTGTAAGGTATAGAGTATGTGCGTGTATGACGTATAGAGTGTGTGCATGTGTAAGGTATACAGTGCGTGTGTATAAAGAATAGAGTGTGCATGTGTAAGGTATAGAATGTGTGCATGTGTAAGGTATGGCATGTGTGCATGGGTAAGATATAGAGTACACGAGTGTATTAAGTATAGAGTGTGCATGTGTGTAAGGTGTAGTGTGTGCATGTATAAGGTATACAGTGTGTGTGTGTATATCGTATAGAGTGTACATGTGTAAGGTATAGGGTGTGTGTGTGTGTAAGGTATACAGTGCGTGTGTATATAGTATAGAGTGTGTGCATGTGTAAGGTATACAGTGTGCGTGTGTATATAGTGTAGAGTGT